TGCTTTCATGCTAATTTGGGAGATTGTTTATGTGACTATCACATTCTTTTTTATTGTTGTTGAAATTCAGATCAGGTTTCATCAAGTTGAAATCTAGATGGGTTAACTGAAATTTAATTCAAGCTTGAGTAAACGTCCTTTAAATTTTTACTTTAATCTTGTTTATCTGAATAATTTATTATTTTAAATATTCAATGACTTAAATAAAATGTCGCCAAGTTAATTTCACCTGAAAATAAGGGAAAGTATATCATAAAGAGTGCTATCAAAGATAAGAATACTTAAAAAGTATTTAAAAAGTACTTTATCAATATCAATTAAACTTTTTTAAGGTAGTGAATCTGACGTCTGATATTTTCCGTTTTAACAAATATTAATGATACAAGAAAAGATTAATGAACACACTTGACCGGGTCTCTTGTAGCTGTGATTTTTGTACAGTATTCAGTCCCCCTGTATCTCATCACGGAATATTCCATCTTATATAAAATTAAAAATTTAATGAAAGACACATAATCAGACATATTAATAAACATATGTTTATACGTATACGTGTTTACTTTGAAAGCATTTAAGAAAGGAAACAAAGAAAATATTTTGACATACATATTTGCTATTCATGCAACGTGAACACTCTTAAAGACAAAACCATGTAGCCTCGAACTGATGGATTGATTTTCTGCAGAATTTTACTGAAGTTAACAGAATTTAAACGACACAAAGGATGTCATGCTACATTACTATCACCTGATTTCGATTTAAAAATGTATTTCCATGCAATGAAACTCCTACAAATATAACAAAGGCTTAAGATTTTTTTTATTTTAGTATCGGAGGGTTATCATTTTGGATGCCGTCACAAACCACGATTTATTTCCAGCTTTATTATTTTGAAAATGACACCCACACATACCTGAATTGGCCTGTAACCTAGCCTAATGAAATGAGAGTGTTGTGTCCAGTTGTCATATTCTAGTCCTAGACCCAGTTAACATGTCCTAAGATCAGTGTTTTAGTATTGGGCCCATTTTGTGAAGTCCTAGTCCCGTTTGTCAGGTCTAAGGCCGAGTTGTAGAGTCTTCAGCCAAGTTACCGAGTCATTGGCCTGCTTATTGAGTCCTAGACCCAGTTATTACGTATGAAGCCTACTTATTTGATCCTAGGCCTAGTTGTTGAGTCTAAGGCCAGGTATTGAGTCATTGGCCCAGTTGTCTAGTACCGGTTTTTGCTGTTGAGTCGAAGGCCACATTTGTCGAGTCTTTGGCTAGGTCGTCTAGTATTGGGCCTTGCTGTTCAGTCGATGTCCCAATAAGTAGTTTATTATAAGGCCCTGCTGTTGAGTTAATGCCCAATTTGTCGAGTCCTTGGCACAGTCATCTAGTATCAGGCCTTGCTGTTCAGTCGAAGGCCACATTTGTCGAGTCCTTGGCTAGGTCGTCTAGTATTAGGCCTTGCTGTTAGGTCGAAGTCCCAATAAGTAGTTTAGTATAAGGCCCTGCTGTTGAGTTAATGCCCAAATTGTCGAGTCCTTGGCCAAGTCCTCTAATATCAGGCCTTGCTGTTGAGTCGAAAGCCAAATTTGTCGAGTCATTGACCCAATTTGTTGAGTCTCCGACCTAGTATTTGAGAACTTGGTAAGCTTACTGACAAGTAACTGAAAATCTTCTAAATTGTATAGTTCATAAAACTTCTAAATTGTACAGTTCATAAAACTTCAAAATTCAAAACTATAAAGCCGTCTGTATTAAGGTTCAAACGGATCCAATTTTTTCTTTTTTTTCTTTTAAAAGGGAGTTTTGAAAATTAGGCTAGTAAGTTAGGTATTGCGCCTTTGAACAACTGACCTCCTTGATTAGAATGTTGCATAAAGTTCTGCAGGAAACCATCAACATGGGAAGGGTCTGGTCAAAAATTGATGACCAGGGTAAAAACTTACCTGTCTCTATGTTCAGAACGACCTCTGATCATGATTAAGTGAAATCTCCAGTGTCCATACATTTTATATCGCACCGTTTTTAAAGGAGTTTTCATGAAGAAAGCATATTTTTGGAATTTTAAGGTATTACAGGACAATTTTTCACCGACTTTATAAATAGAATGAATGTGTAAAAACCATGAGCATAACATTGCAGTGAAAAATAATCTTGTTTAAAGAATTAACTATACGTGACTACAATTGTATATTTAAAATACTCCACTGATTCCACTCTACAACCGTTTGACTTCATACATAGAATAATTAAATAAAAATATCATGAATATTTAAACAAAAAATATTTATAATCGTTATTATAAAAACTTGTATGTTAACCATGCAGTATATACAACTTAATGTTTACAGAAAACCGCACCTTTTCTTCGCATAATAGACTGTCCGGACCCCCGCATCTCTGTACAGCATTCTATGATCCATCAATAACCTGCCCCCGTAATATATTAATATATACCTTTATCTTAAAAATGGAATAGTCCCTCAAGTTTAACTTTGTTTCTGTTGAATCGGTTTATAGTGGTTTACAAGGATGCAAGGGTCGGACTGTAAAGCCAAAAGCATTTTTATTATCACAGACCATTTTTTTTGTATTCCCAAAAGGGACTGTATCAAAAAACCTAAGCACATCATGTAAGTTTTATCAATAGCGACCTTTGATACAGTCCCCTCCTTCAAATGCACATGTACGCCATGTCACCATTTATGAATGAACTAGTGGTGAAGTTGGAAAACTTCAACATTTCGATGTGTCATGACAAAGAACAATAGGTAAGATCCCACACAACCAGATGTTTACATTAACAGGTAGACAGTGCCAGAGTACAAGCACCTACAGGACTCTGTTACAGAAACACCAAGGGTTTCCGTGGTAACCGATTCCAGGAATACTGAATCATCAGTAACCCATATCAGAACCCATTATAGGGATGCCTGGGGTTTCCCAATGTCACCCATCTAAGGAATATCTTGGGTACACCAAAGATTTCTTTTTCTTTTTCATATTCCTTTATGGGTTAAAGGGGAAGGACCATAATAACACCATTGGCACTGTGCAAACACACATTTTAAACATTTTGATGAGACACTCGGGTAGCTATCATATATTAATACCGGACAGAAGCTCCTGGCAGAGTGCCCGATAGTGTCCCTTGTCACCAGAAATCCTCCGGACTTGTAGACCATTGTAACTAATGCCCTGGCACACCTCCAGCTCCATCTGGACATCAGAGTTCTCCAGTCGGAACAAATGATCTGAACACTGGTACACCACTTCCTTTCCTCGATCTCCCAGAAATCTCTTGAGTTCCTGTAATATGTCTCCGACCGTCCGTGTGGACGTGAGATTAATGTTGGATCCTTGAATCTTGTTAAGTATCGGGGAATTCGACAAGTCAACATGTCCTACACTATTGGATATATTTTGTTCGTCTTGTTTTGTAGACGACATGTCAACGTCTTGGATGAGATTTCGATCACCGTTATAAAGAACTCTGTTGCTTTGGGTTTCATTAGGAACACTGACATTTGAGTTTACTACACTTACATTCTGGAAATTTAACGAATCCGGAACGACTACCCCTGCCCCTGAGGGTTGTCTACTTACACCCATCCGCCCAGAACTAGGCCGTTGTGACCTATTTGGAGAGGAGAGCTGAGGACTGATCCATCCACATGTGTAGGGAATGTTGGCGTGGCTGGGGTCAGGCATGGAGTGGCCCTTGAGGTTACCAAGGTTACTTAAGTCCGTGACGTGGGGAGGAATGGCAGCCAGGTTAGTGATGTAATTGCCGAAGATGAGCGAATTGTAATTGACAGGGTGAGAAATTAAGTTTGTGGGGGGATGTGAGTGATGATTTGGCGAGGCCGGCGAGGAATGAGAATGAGTAAGAGGGGGATGGGACCTTGTTGGAGAGGGCTGATGAGAACATGGCGAACTTGAGGAATCCTGGAAGGTGCGATATGTTAGTGATGAACCTGTGACAGTATCGGGTTTTGTCGTCGAAGGAGACATCTCATTCTCGCCCTCTGAAGTCACATCAGTGACATGACCAGTTGTGTCTGTGATACTGATCTGTGGCTTTCCCGAGAACTGTCTGTGCTTCCTCTCCTGAGAGGCAAGGTCACTCTCCCCAACCTGCATGCTAACCTCACCATCCTCACTGGGGCTCTGGTCTGGGAGGTCTTGCGAGTCCTCCTTGATCATTTGAAGGTTCTGAAAGTTAGTGACGTTGGGTGGTGGACTGTTGCGCTGATGTGGCTGACTAAAATTTTGATAAAGCTGCGAGAAATTCTGCGGAGGTGAATCGGTGCGTTGCATTGGGAGGCAGGTGGGTGGTGACATATGTTGATAGGGCTGCTGTGAATTCTGAATCTGTTGATGAAGATGGAGACGTTGAAGATGTTGATACAGGGTCGCACTCTGAGAATCAGTGGTTGTTGGAGTATGTCGGGCGAAACTTGGCGAGGCTGGTGCCAGTGGGGGTGATGGAACTGGCGAATGCTGGATAGTTGTTGTGGGCTGAAAGAGAGAAAAGACTGATGTAAGATGCTGAGTTCATTCATTTTGTGAGACATACAGCAGATCATAATATTGGTGCCGGTGGTGGGACGAGAATCAATAAATACAATGAAACCAAGTCGCTGAATCACATAATAAACGCATTTAATATATCCAATCAAAAATGAATTATAATATTCATGAAGCGAAACACAATTTGAAACAAATCTAATTCAAATTAAATTTGACATATAAACATGGGTGTTAAAACCAAACTTGTTTCAAACTTTTAACCTTACTGACATGTTAATGACACATGAGCATACAATTTTAATGTTTTTTCTTTTTCATATCTTTTTTTAATTGACAAACATTAATTTAAAAATATGAACCATATGTTATTTCCATTATTATGAACAATGAATATAACATTATTTCGGAGCAGCTCTACACCATTTTACGATGAATCAGCTCAACCACGGGTTAAAGTCTTGTCTAAATAGTTAACAGTAACTTAACAATTAAAACAAAGCCTATCACTAATGAAAACAAAACCAAGCAAGTTTAAGACTTGATATTTAGAATTTAACCTTTTTGTAATCTCTAAATATTTTTTTACAAAATATATTATCATTGTAAGTAAAAGATATGATTTTCATCTCATGTGTTAATGCTATGTAAATATATATACAGAGCAGATATTTTACCATATGAATTAGACACCATAAACATCCTACAATAAGCACGGGGGAGGGGGTATGTTGGAGCCAAATGGGGGCATCACATAATTTCCGATGGTTGTTAATTTCAACTATCATGTTTTAAAGATATAGAATAAAGAGACCAAGATAATTCCATATGTTGTGATAATTCAGAAATAAAACAAAAACTGATAACAGTAATATATCCGCCAAAAAAATGAAGTTAGTAAAAAAAAGAAATATAAAAAAAATGTTATGTAATATATTGTATAGAAAATGTTATTGATTCTTAATAGAATACATTTTAAAACGAAACATTTTTATGTTCAAACAGAAAACGAAATCTTGAATTGTGTTAACAAATACCTTATTTACACCAGTTTATCTCTGTATTTTCTGAAAGTACGAACTAAGTAACCACCCAACTTTCAAAATTCCGAGGTCTTAACTCGTCAATCTCTCCTGACAGAAATAGAAACCCAAACTCAAATTCAACCAACATTTTCCTCTCTTAAACAATTAAAATTATATTCACTCTTTTATTTATTTTCAAATAAATTGGTAAAAGATTTCTTTGTAAAATCTCAGTGAGCTGAGTTGACATTGACAATTTGAGTTCCATGGTTTTTTATTGACACAGTGAGCCAAGCTAATGACTTAGTAATTTGAGTTTCTTGGTCCCCCCGCCCATTTCCCCCCTAAATGACAAAATGAGTCAAGCAGATGACTCAGATATTAGAGTTCCATGTTTTTCAGTTTTTTCTTCTCCCTAATGACTCGATGAGTCAAGCTGAAAACTTTTTTCTTATATGACTTAACGAGTCGAGTTCCTTTTTCTTCCAGTGATAACCCAGTGAATGAATTAAGCTGATGGCTCAGTCATCTGAGGTCCTTGTTTTCTTTTATATGACTCAGTGAGCTGTTTTTTTTCTAGTAATGACTCAGCAAGCTGAGTTAAATTCTAAATGATTTGAGTTCCTTATTTTCCTGAACGATTCAGTTGACCGGTAAAATGAGTTCAGTAGAAGATGGTTGGATATTGTGTACACACTCTCAAAAACATGCTTATCCACACTTTGTTCTGTAGCATTCCGTTGGCCACGCTTGTATATCTAGTATGACCTAGCTAACGGTGATGTGCAAGTGCACTATATGATCATGCAGTATTACTGAATACCGGGAAATTTTTGATGCAGTTTAATTTTTGCTTTTAATTTCTTCTCCCTCTGTAATGATGGCGAATTCCTCATAACCACGAATGTCAGTAAACAATAGGATAAACATAGCAATCCATCACGAAAGGGGAAATCAGAACTGAGAGAATATGGATATTATTGACTTAAGGCGTAATTTTGACTTTGCGAAAGTTTCCCCGTATACACGATTTGTGATCTGTCGTCCAGCTTTGTGCTTCCAAATTTTGCGTGATTCAGCGACTAGGTTTCATTGCCTTCAAAACTTCTACACTAAACTTAAAAAAAAATCAAATTTATGTAACGGAAAGAGAGGTTGATAACCAAAACTCTTACAAACATTACACTTCTATTCTCTACTCAGTATTTTTTAAAATTTCTATAAAATTAGAACATGGTACATTACTAGTCCTGTATACAATTCGTCTGTTCATACTAAGACAGAACTCTAAAATATCAGTGATGAAGTTAACTCATTCACCACCGAAGACACATGTGAACTCTTCCAATTCAAAGGTTGGAATAGTGCATTATGAGAGTTCAGGGGTGAATGAGCAATAAAGCTGACTTTGCATGTTTGAAACCATTGGCAATCTTTCCCAAAAGAAAATACAGAAACGCAGGAAGCAGAAAAGACTATCCCATGGTCTACATTTAGGGTTCATACAAGAATTTTTCTTTAAAATTCATGTTATTTTAGACCTTTTTAGGGCATTTTTCAATAAAAAAAATTAAGCCATTGATGTGTAACCTGTTTGACCCTAGCCTTATCATGCAAACACTGTACAACACTTAAATATTCCGCAGACCAGTATCATGAAAATCCTGAATTTATCTGATAACAATTTTTTTTTGGTTGTTAACTTTTTCTTTTTAGGAAGATTAACGACATGAAACCAAAAATTTAAGTCTTATTTGACCCTTTGATGGCACATAAATTTACGGCTTTTAGGGTTGTTACGATTTTTTGTTTGTTTAATTGTAGCGCTATTTAAGGACAAATCTCGTTTTAAGCACCTTTTCAAGGCCTGTACGAACCTTGATATTACTGTGATAAACTTCTACCTACCGAGAGCTACGCCACAATAGCAATTGCTGACTGAGATTTGCCAGCCGGTCAATAATAAACAAGCTTAACATGGCCGATGAACCCATCCCAGTTGTCTAGGAACGTTATCCGTAATTTTTAAGGATGTCTGAAGTTCTCATCATGCAATGTCTATTTTTACAGTGTACAGTGGTTAGTAGACCCTATAGGTAAATGACGATGACATACATGAATATAACAAAGCAGGTGATTGGTCAGTTAGTGAGAGAAGGCGGGTCGTAAAACAACAAAGAAAGGCAGTTAGTAGTGATATACCCTCGTCATCAGAAATTCGGAATTCCTTAAAGGTGATAAAGATTTATTTTATATTTTTCGGTTAATGTTACAAGGCGAGATGAAGAAGATAGGAGAGAGACCAGCATATTTTCATTTACAAACTTAAACTCCTCATTTAATCGGTTTCAGATGTAATCTCTCCCTCCTTTTTATAATGAAGAAATACATTTCAACAGTTCCATTAAAAATATATTATATTTAAACAACTTTATCAAATCTATATTATGTCATATTATATGTATTACCTTACAAAATCACTCAAAATCAGAAGAGGAACATCTAAAACAATTTATTGTTAAAGAATTAAAAAAGAAAAGGAGATTAACCCTCTTACCACTGTAGACTACAATGGACTCATCCTTATCAAATATGGTAGAGCCTACTAACATTTCAGAGGGGTGAAAGGGTTAAAAGAATAAGCCAATCACAGACCATGACAGCCATCTTGGAAAATTTCAAAAGTCTAAAGATTAACCAATCACCTCATCACCTGAAATATGCGGTGGACAAATACAGCAAACCCGGTCATGCAGTATTATATTGGAGCTAACACTCACAGTAACAGACAAAAGGAGAAGTTTACACAACAAACCGTAAAGTACTATTCTAACTGATCCAAGACTGGTCATTTGTGCGCTTGAAAATCGATGAATTGACCACTGTTTACCATGATCGATCAAACTAGGACAAATTTGAGCTTTTAATGGAACCAAGTAAAATAATTCGACTGAGCTCTAAAAGAATCCAGTAAAATAATTCGACTCGGCTTTTAAAGGAATCTGGTAAAATAATTCGACTGAGCTTTTAAAGAATGAAATAAAATAATTCGACTGAGCTTTTAAAGAATGAAATAAAATAATTCGACTGAGCTTTTAAAGGAATCTAGTAAAATAATTTGATTGAGCTTTTAAAGGAATCTGGTAAAATAATTTGATTGAACTTTTAAGGATCAAGTAAAATAATTTGATTGAGCTTTTAAAGGGTGAAGTAAAATAATTCGACTGAGCTTTTAAAGGATCAAGTAAATTAATTTGACTGACCTTTTAAAGGATCAAGTAAAATATTTCGACTGAGCTTTTAAAGGATCAAGTAAAATAATTCGACTGCGCTTTTAAAGGATCAAGTAATTTGATTCGACTGAGCTTTTAAAGGATCAAGTAAAATAATTCGACTGACTCTTTTAAGGATCAAGTAAAATAATTCGACTGAGCTTTTAAAGCATCAAGTAATTTGATTCGACTGAGCTTTTAAAGGATCAAGTAAAATAATTTGACTGAGCTTTTAAAGGAATCTAGAAAAATAATTTGATTGAGCTTTTTTTAAGGAATCTGGTAAAATAATTTGATTGAGCTTTTTTTTAAGGAATCTGGTAAAATAATTTGATTGAACTTTTAAGGATCAAGTAAAATAATTCGACTGACCTTTTTAAGGATCAAGTAAAATATTTCGACTGAGTTTTTAAAGGATCAAGTAATTTGATTCGACTGAGCTTTTAAAGGATCAAGTAAAATAATGCGACTGAGCTTTTAAAGGATCAAGTAATTTGATTCGACTGAGCTTTTAAAGGATCAAGTAAAATAATTCGACTGAGCTTTTAAATGATCAAGTAATTTAAAGGATCAAGTAAAATAATTCGACTGAGCTTTTAAATGATCAAGTAATTTAAGGGATCAAGTAAAATAATGCGACTGATCTTTTAAAGGATCAAGTAAAATAATTTGACTGAGCTTTTAAAGGATCAAG